TTTGAGATCTGCACGAATTGCTTAATATTTAAAAAAAATTTAATCATTTAAGAAAGAAGAATGAAAAATACATAAAAAACGCATTTTAAAAAATGGACTAAAACACTCATTAAAAGACACAAAGAGACGCATTAAAAAATGCATTACTTAACATGTTCTTTTATAAAATAAATTTCTCAACTTTTCAATCTTTTTCAACGGCCTATAAAATAATTAAACACTAAAGTTGCAATTTTTCCTATTTCACCGAATGTACCCTAACAGCACCATACGTATAGTAAGCACGTCGCTATGACGTGCTAACTCGTCACGTAACGTTGCAGTGACGTCTAAACTAGAATTCGAAACATGATTAATACGTGTCGCTGCCATGTAATTAACAGTCAAATTTTTGGTGACAGAGACGTTATATATTCGTGATTTTATGCATCTTGTTGCTATGAGCACCTATTGACGTCAATGACGACCTGCTTGACCGGTTTTAAAAAGTTAAGGTTTTGTATATTATATGTACATAAAATACTCGACAGATTAAGATGCATTACTTGGTTGTAGTAAAAATTGAAACAATTTATATATATAAAATATACAAAATGTTTGTTCCCCAATTGTTGCTACAACCAAGTAATGCAATTTAATCTGTCAAGTACTTTATGTACATAATATAAAAAACCCAATCTTAACTTTTTAAAACTTGTAATAATACTTTTACAATATCTATTATGTAATAATTATATTTACATGATGTATATTTACATAATATTTTTTCTAATATTCATTATTAAAAACAACATTGAAAAAACACCGCTAGATCAAGTGCGGTCGAAATAAATGAATAAATATAATGAAATACAAGAAAATAGACTTTTCTTCGCCAGTGAATAAATAATGAGGAAAGTAATGTTCGACGTTAACTGGCAATATAGATTCATTATGTCTCACGACGTTTCGACCGTACATTTCGGTTCTTATCAAGTGTTACAGCTACAATAGATAGACATAATGAAATCTACTTTTTTGTTTTTATTATTACACACTATTGACCTGAAGAATGTTGTCACGTCCTAACGGAAGTTTTGCCAAAATGATAACGATATATGTAACTGTAACACTTGATAAGGACCGAAATCTGCGGTCGAAACGTCGTGAGACATAATAAATCTATATTGCCAGTTAGCATTGAACATTACTTTTCTTATAATGAAATACGTGTGTGTGTGTTATGTTCAAATCTAAATTAAAAACATTATTAATTTTCATTATCTTATTATATTTCGGGACAACGCCAAGTTTTTTTTATTAAATATTTTATTTTAATTAAATATTATCTATATACATTTAAATATTTTCTATTATCTTGCTGAGTTAAAACAGTTTAATTTTTTTAAAACATTTATCATATTTCCTCTTTTTATTTTCACAATTTCAACACTTTTTAAAAAACATTTTTAACATTTTTTTAAATTATAAAATGTTGAACATTTATTATTTACCTAAACATTTTTCTTATGAAAATTAACGCTATGTTGCAATGCTTAATATACAACGCTTAATAACAGTTTTTTATACTAGCACTATTTTTTGTATGGCAATTTTATACTCGGTGTTTCATTTAGTATATGCAGTCACTCACTTATTACACGCGGACAAACAATGAAATTTGCCATACAAAATATGACTGTCATTACTCCCATCACGTTGATACACTTTTCAACAGGCCGATCGGCCGAAAGTAGTAGTTTAGTATTATATTATATAAAAGTTAGTTACAGTTCTCTTTCGTCCCGTTTTCTTCTAAAGCTCTTCTAGAGCTCCTGTAAGATACTTATATAATTCGCTGATCTTAACTTCGGTCACAGTATCGTTGAAGATACACGATCAGTCTCGCGTCTTTCGTTCGCTCACGAATACACTTGGCACGAGACACTACCGTGTCTTTATAGTAACGAATGTGTACAGTTCTTTACTGTGACATAGTGTTTCGATTGTAATACATATAGTGAAAATAGATCATTTTCGATAGACGCTTTTTTTTTAGCAAAGGTAATGTCTAATTATAGATTAAATTTACAACATAAAATTTCACATAAAATTGTTTAACGCATATTATTAAATAATAAACGTTATCGTCTAAAAGGAAACAAGAAAACGCGGATTCAACTATTCTCCTTTCCTTCAATTTTAAACAAAATATACATATTTTTAAAAATTTTCTTACGCACATTAAAGAGATGGAATATATACCTTCGAAAAAAATAGATTTTTATACTTTTAAGTGCATATCATCGAAAAGATACGTAAAAATTGTTTGTAAAACTTGTATGGTTTCAAAAACGCTGTATAACGATGTATTTCGATTTTTTTGTAAATGTTATATTTTTTTTAATATTTTCATTGCCCGTTATTATTGTTTCTGAGACATTTGAAATAATTTTATAATTAAATTAAAGTTTATCTAAAAGACAAATTCAGCTGTATACCTATAACAAAATTATTTTCTAAAGACACATCTTCCAAAAATGAGCTGCAAAGTGTCTATACGCACGGCATTTTATCATTTTATCGACTCACTACTTGACAACTTTCTTTTTCTGTTTTTTTTTTCCATAATATGAGATCTGACACATATACGCACGCACGCATGCATGATCAAATGTAGATATTCAGCATAATTACACTTAATTGCTATTTTGCGCTTAGCTAAGCAGAGCTTCAGCAAAACAGTCAATTATTGCAGAATGATGGCAGCATAATAATATAATAAATGCATTGACGCAGTTGCATAATTTTAATCGCATCTTTGCGCGTTGTAAACTACCCAGTAAGCAAGAAACATCAAGAAACATTTTAACTACATTACAGCAACGTTTTAACATTAATGCAATGTAGTTGAAATGTTTCTTGACGTTTCACTGAGAAAATAATGTTCTGGATTTTAGTAAATATTAGTTTGAATACAACTGTGACTCCATTTATTAAAATAAAAAAAATTTTCTTTTTTATTAGTATATTTTTTTCCTAGTGAATACACATATACTAATAAAAAGGAAAATTTTCTTCATTTTAGTAAATAGAGTCACTGCAGTTGTATGCAAACTAATATTTACTAAAATCCAGAACATTTTTTCTCAATGTTCTTGCTTTTGGGTAAGTCGTCATAAAATCGTATGCGTTAAATGTTTTGTGCGGGAATTCGTTCCATCAAGAGTTATTGTTCACTGCAAATGAATATGAAAATACAGGTATCTTGAAAATTTCTCTATTATATTGTTACTGCATATACCTTCTATATATTTTTATCGCTTTATGTTAATAAAGTTTTTACATTAATTTTTACTTTAATTCGTACAAATATTCACCTTCCTATTCTACTCCCTCCCTCCAAAAATATTTCCCTACCCTTCGCATTCTCTCACTCTTCCTGACTATAAAAGCATGCCTCTGTTGCCTAGCTTTCATTATTTTGTAACAACAGACTGACACATATGTGTCTCTTACTGCCTCTCATCAGAAGTGATTTGACGGGTGCTCAGGTACGAAATTGTTTTTTATTTTTTATTTTTTTTTATAGTTCTTTTTCTCATTTTTTAAAATCACCTAGGATCGGAATGTTAACTTTAATATTTCTCAAGTGTTTTTTGTGTCTAAATCTCCTGCTGGTTCGATTGTCAAATCCGTGTTAACAGTAACACAGAGCATTACTCTTGGCATAATTGTGAACTATTAAAGTGTGAAAAATGACGTTAATAAGCTAAATTATTGTTACAATGTACAGCTACATTTTTCGTTTTAGTGTAGTGTTTTTATATTTAAAATAATTGTCATAGTGTTAAAATATATCGAATATATAACTCCCATTTTGTTACAATTTAATATGTAAAAGTAAATATTTTTTTTTATTTCAATTCGACAGCTGTTATTCGAATAGCTTGTTGTCGTCCTTGATTAGGTACAATTCAATTCGACATGGGTCATTTATTTATTACTCGAACAAAAGTGGAGTTTTCGACATATTTTACAAATCTATTCTATCGATTGAAAACGTTATACTACAATATTAAAAAACATTTATATTTTAATTTTATAATTATATGACTAGATGTTCAGCGACTTATTTAATTGACGAATTATTTAATTGTTTTTTATTATAACGCACTGAAGAGGACTTTATTTCAGGTCGAAACGTGTGTCATATTGTTTATCTAAATTATAATACATTTTTAGCACGCGTACGTTCAATCTGCGCGCGCGCACGTGCATGGCTTCGTACGTGTGTGTGTGTGTGTGTGTGTGTGTGTGTGTGTGTGTGTGTGTGTGTGTGTGTGTGTGTGTGTGTGTGTGTGTGTGTGTGTGTGTGTGTGTGTGTGTGTGTGTGTGTGTGTGTGTGTGTGTGTGTGTGTGTGTGTGTGTGTGTGTGTGTGTGTGTGTGTGTATGTGTGTATGCGTGACGTCCATGTCGTTCTAGATCGTCCTGGGTTATGCTAGGAGTAGGAATACACTTGTAGACTCGAATTTTACATGTTTGACTGACTGATAGCTCAAAAACTGTCCATAGGTTGGTCTTGAGCCCATTACATTTTTTGTTCAGAAGGTCATAAGCTACAACATATTAAAAATTTAGACGATTTTACCGAGATCCCATTTCCTATATGATTAGTGTGCGGGGTCCTTTAATATTCTATTTGGTGATAAAATATTATTATTTTTTGTTAATATTTATTAATTATTTAAAAATGGTACATATATAACGTGTATGTCTGTAAATAAAACTTCATGAAAGAAATACTAGTTTAAAATTATAATCGTACATGTAATCAATTTTTATTACCGAGATTTCAGAATATATTTAAACGTGTATGGTACAAGAGTAATTATGTAAAAATGATAAAAATATAAATCAGTACAGAATTAAAAATACAAATAAATTAGCTAAAATAAAAATACATTTCTCTTTAAAAAGTTATTTAAAACAAACATGCAACATTTAATTGCGACAATAATTGCTTGCTACTGCATCGCTGCATTTATCAATGTCGTAACTGCGTCATTTTGATTAATTTTTTATGGATTCTCCAATAATATTACAAGGACTTTGTGACAGAAAAAGTAAAATTTACGTTTCTGACGTCAATGCTTGACGCATTTACTCCTCGAAGAGTTGCCGAAAGACTTGTCCATTTGTTTAATTGTCGATGTACGTATTCTCTGTTTGTTTCATTTGAATGTTTATTGTGTTTTGCGTTATTAATTATTAGCGAGCTCCGTTGAGCTTTATAAACGCGCGTGCGCGAAAAGATCAATATCGATCCGTTAGATAGATAGATCCATATAGAAGTTAGATTAGGAAATTGGGGAGGGCAACAGTCCACGCGCTGCCGCGGCATGTCGTTAAGAAGCAATGAGGACACTTCCCTTTCATCTGTTGAAGCGGCTAGTCGAGGAATAAATATAAAGTATAAAGATTGTGAGACATAGTAAATTTATACAAAGTGTAAAATATTCTGTTAAGTTCAATTGTGATTGAAGACAGCTTAGTCTGAGAAGCCTGTACAGTGAGTCAAAAATAAATTATATTTCTTTGCCTCAAGCAGTGATTGTAATAACAGTCTTGCAAATCCATTCATTCTACGGGTCCTCCAACGGAACCCCCCTTGTGACGTCTCGTGCGACAAATTTATAATAATATAAGTTTATCAGTTCTTCTAAAACTGATTGGCGCTCAATTCAATTATTTATTATTTATTGTCGAGCCAGATTATTTATTTATTATTTATTTATTATTTATTATTATTTATGGTAATTATGTATAAAAGCGACGTCCTCTCCGATGACCTTGACCTTGACATATGTTGTGACGGTCACCCTACTGAGTGACCTTCAAAAGGTTTTAGCCATCGGTCATTCGGAGAGGACGTCGCTTTTATACATAATTACCTTATTTATTATTATTTATTATAATTCATTATAATTTATTATTATTTATTATTATCTATTAGCATTTATTGCCGGATAAATTAGTAGAGCCCTGTCAGCCGAAGGACCCCGGCCGCGGCAAGTGAAGGATAAAATAATTCTGTCTCAACTTCATAACTCATTTGAATGCATTTTTAGAAAATAATTTTGTTATCACAAAATGAGAGTCAAGAGGCCAAATTCGAGAAAAAATGTTTTTAAGACAAGATAAAAAAGGTAAATAATTTATTGTACAAAGATCAATAACAACGTGGACGTTTCGACTTCACTTATAATCTTCTTCAGCACAATAAATAAAAATTAAAGAAGTATGCAAATTTTAAGAGTACATAGTATAAAAGGAGAAAAAACTAAAAAATATATAGGGATAATATAGTATAAAAGAAAATAAGAAGTAATAAATTACTAATAACATGAATCACAAGTGACATAAGAGACAATAGCAGAGATCAAGTACATAGTCACAGACAATACTTAAAAACGATGATTCCTTATAAACGCAATGCTTTTAGTCGATGGTTAAAAAGCATTGTTATACTTGTTTATAAGTCAGTAGTGAGAATGTTGGTTCCATGTGTTCAAAAAGCTGTCGTCCTGTTATAGTTAAATAATTGTAGTCCAAAATTGTAGTTCAGTGTAAAAAGAAAATTTTTCTCCCAATTCTGAGGTAATGTTCGTTTTTCAATGTAAAAAGGGAAAACCATATTAAGTGTAAGATAGAATTTTAGATAATTTTAAGTGGTACCAAGGTTGTACAGTTAAGTTGGCAAAATTGGACAATAAATTATTAAACATTTTTTAATAACCTTTTATTTTACTCGAATTTGGCTTCTTGATTCTGTCATTTTTGTGCATTTGACGACCGTCTATCCTTCTTATTATAATTTTGTTATACATATATAGTTAAATACGTCTTTAAATTAACTTTAATTTAATGAAAAGATTTTTAATTTTTCAAGAACAATATGGATAGTGCAAGCAAAGTGAGTGCCTTGATTGGTAAATGTTGAAAACATAGAAGATGATTAAAAATTACATAATATAAATTTTGTTTTTATTACCGCGAAATTTTCTGAGAAAATTGTTTGTTGTTATATTTCAGACAAAATTATCAGTCTACGATGCTTACGGAATGGATTGGAGCTCTCATTGTTGTTCTGAGTGTTGTATATATTTATTACAAGTATGTGGTATTCAGTTTCTGGCGCAAAAGAAATGTCTTTTATGTCGAGCCCGTTGTGCCAGCTGGTAATTTGACAGCTCTTGTGACTGGAAAAGTGTCAGTAGGCGAGTATCTTCATGTGATGATAAATGCACTTATTTTCTCTCACTTTCTCTCTCCCTCCCTTTCAACACTTATTTAAAAATTGCAAGATTAAGATTACAAAACAAAATTACATTTCAAACAAATAAAATGGAGTTTATCTCTTTTTCTTACCAGTTGTTGAAATTTAATTCTTTTCTAATTGTACTAATAACTACGTTATATAATAATGGTTATATAATAATATAACCATGATCTTTGATCTACGATGATCTACGATTATGTTCTTCGTTTCACGCACGCGATAGTTATCTATTAACATTTTTTTACGCGATAGTATAGAAGTATAAGTTTCTTAGTATAGAAATAGTATACTGAATTATCTCAATTAATTCAGATTAAAATTATTTGAAATTTCTTTAAAATCGAGAGAAAAGTCCATACATAAAGATGATAGTATAAAAGTTATTAAAGATTACGTACATGTGAAATTGCTACGTTAATCACTCTCTTATATTTCACAAATCAATAAATTATTATTTGTAAAAGATTTAATATAAAATAAATTATTATTTTTAAAAGATTTAAATTAGATTTTTATGAGATCAACGATTTATTTGTTATCGCTACATCATTGTATCTTCTGCATTTAAAAAGACGCGAAATTTAATAAAAGATTTATCAACAGGCGAACTCTTCCGTGATGCCTACTTAAAATATAAGAGTTATCGCGCTTTTGGAATGTATATGTTTTTCAAACCAAATCTAATAATTGCCGACCCCGATCTGATTCAAATGGTGTTGACGAGAGAATTCAAGTGTTTCCACGATCGGGGACTGTTCTGCAATGAGAAAACTGATCCATTGACTGGCCATTTGTTTTGCTTATCCGGGAAAAAATGGCGGAATTTGCGTCTCAAGTTAACATCCTCTTTCACTCCGGGAAAAACAAAACAACTCTTTATGATTCTAAAGGAGTGCGGCGAAGAGTTTGCAAAGAGTTTAGAGAGCGAAGCTCGGACGAGAGATTGTATTGAGATGAAGGAAATGTTTGCAAGGTAAACTTTTTTGTACGAATTTTTAAACGACCAAAGTATAAATAATTAAAATTAAAAAAAAAATTGTTAGTGTAAAAACTAAATGTTCTGCAATAAGATAGTTAAGTGGCTATCATTTTTATTGCTAATAATCTCTTTTGATCAATCTGCAGTCAGTTTTCGATGAAACTGATAAGGCATTTTTTCCCTTGATTGACAATTAGAAATAAGAAATTCTTGGCGGATAAAATTTCACAAGTTCAAAGATACAGATGATAAAACTGCGCGCGCAATTTTCATTTATTCCAAATAGACTTATTAGAATATAATTTAAGAATTAATTAAAATAATGTGGAAAAATTAGGTTTTCAACAGACATAATTATGTCAACGGCATTTGGAATCAAATCCAATTGCATGAAGCAGCCGAATAACGAGTTTCGATACTGGGGAAGGAAAATCTTTGAAGAGAGGTCCCTTTTGATGGCTTTCTCAATGTTCGCACCTCAAATAATGGACTTTTTTTCCCTTCCTGCATTGGACAGAGGCGTTACCAAATTTTTTACGACACTGTTTCGTGATAATGTGGAATATAGGCGAACTCATAATATCGTCAGGCACGATTTTGTGAATCTGCTTATGCAACTCATGGAGAAGGGCTACGTTGAACCTGAAGATGAGAAAGATATTAGCAACATATCACGTAAATACATATACTTTAATATCGATGACGTTTTTTTACTTTCTTTTACATACAACTTCAAAAACCGTTGCGTCTTTAAAAATGGCAAAGTGTCTGCGCATAACGAATTTAATATATATGTTACGGGAAATATGAAAAATTGGGAATTATACATAATGGCCGGCCAATATGGATAATTCCCAATTTGTTTGGTCAAAATGATTAATAGAGAAGAATTAATCAAATTTCCCGGTTATTATGCATATTTTCCAATGCTGAATGGTCATTTTGATAAATCATCTTATTTGAAACAGTTAATCAAATAAGATGATTTATCAAAATGACCATTTTGCATTGGAAAATATGTATAATGACCGGTTAATTTGATTAATTTGAACATTTTTGCTTTTATTATTCAAATGTCCCAAAAGAAGCAGGAATTATGCATATTGCCCGGTTATTATGCATAATAACCGATTTAATCAAATTTCTCGTAACATATACACAGAAGAAAAGAAGTGTTAAATCAAGACTTATATTCTTGTACGAATCTACCCAGGTAGCAAGCACTCGTCATTTTGACGTCAATTGACGTCAAAAGTTTGTCATTTTGACGTCTTTTGACGTCAATTGACATCAAAATGACGAGTGTTTGCTACCTGGGTATAATCTTCTTATAAGAATTTAATTTTAATTTTTTATTTCAATTTTTTCTCGATTAAATTATATACCTTTATTCAAACAAGTTTTCTTCGTTTAACGCAATTTACATCTCATTTCAAGATTATAGATTCTTGCTTATATGCAAGAACATAAGTCTTAATTTAACGCGAAATACAATTTTATTCAGACAATAACTACGTGTAAATATATTATCAGTTTTTTTTCATTTATACAGCAAACGTAAGTAAACTTACTATGTCGGAAGCGGCTGCGCAAGCTTTTGTCTTCTACTTAGCTGGCTTCGAAACTTCTGCCACAACAGCAACATATTGTCTGTACGAATTAGCTTGTCACCAACACTTACAAGACAAGGTTTGCAAGGAAATCGATGAAATATTAAAAAAGCACGGCGAAGTGTCCTATAATGCCCTGAACGAAATGACATATCTTCATAAAGTAATAAACGGTGATTACAGTTTCTGTTTGTATAAAGACGTAATTTTTTATATGAATTAGGGATATCGAGAAAATCTTTATTATAAACATATTTATTCGTGTATATGTACATTTAAATTAAATAAACGCGTTTGATATATATAATCGAAATAATAAATACTTTTTAGAATAAATATATACATTGATACACAATATATCTATGTAGAAAGTATATAAATACATTTCCAAATATTCTTTTTTATCTTCTTACTTATTGTAGAAACTATGAGGAAATACCCACCTGTGCCTATCTTGAATCGCATCTGTACCGAAGCCGTTACTCTTCCAACAACGAATATCCACGTGCCAAAAGGGACTTCGATCACTATACCAGTACTTGGATTGCATAGAGATCCGTCGATATATCCAGATCCGGACAAATTTGATCCTGAACGATTCAACGTAGATGCGATGGCAAACAGACATCCTTATGCTTATTTGCCATTTGGAGAAGGACCACGGATCTGCATCGGTGAGAGGACAATCCTATTTAATTTACACATTATATTTTTTATTCATCAATTTCCCCATCATTGTTTAGAGTTTTATGCATATAATCTCTCGCAGAAATATCTTTTTATAGAGGTATTTAATTAAGTTATTAATTTCGTCTTTATACCTTTTGTACCTAAGGAACATACATATTATATTATACACACTAAGGCAAAGCTTGGTAAAGCTTGGAACGTAAATTATATCGCTATTGTCTATATTAATAATTTTCAGGTATGAAATTTGGTTATATCCAAACAAAAGTTGGACTGGTGAGTCTTCTGTCAAGGTTCAAGTTCAAACTCCACTCCCAAACTCCGGTCCCGCTCACTTTCGACGAAGCATCCATTCTAGTACTTGCGGTCAAAGGCGGTGTCCCTCTTATCGTTGAGCAGCGATGAAGCAATCACGCTGTTTTTTTTTTATTTGAAGTAAATATTTCTATTTAAAGCATCCGAAAAATATTGTTGACTCAAAGTGCACAAAAGTTCTTTTAAATGGGATTATTATATTATGCTTTGCATTTGTCGTTATATTAGCGGAATTCTGGAAATTGTAGAGTATTTGATAGATATAAGTGATAAAAATATAATTGAACTTGTAAGTTTTTGTAACTTTTATTAAAAGGACAATCATGTATGTGATTTTATCGTTAAATAGAAACAAAGTTGCAAATTAATTTATAATATATGATTACTGGAGCAAGTTCACATATATTTGAACAAGCAGTGAAAGGAGCGTCAATGCATATTTGTATATTTAAGTTATACAATATTAATTTTTATATATTTATATCAATTTTAAAATGTAGAGAAACATAGATGGTATTATATAATTGATTTATATAAGACGAAAGCTTTGAATTAAAATTCTATTAAAGGTTACTTAAAACCAAGAATATATGTATAATAACTTGTTATCTATATTGCCGTATTATTTGGGACTTAATTTGCCAAAGTGTCAATGTTATTGAAATGTTATTTGAAATAAATTAAAACAATAGAATTGTAATAGATATATATGTATATATTTATGACTTGTACAGTTATAATTACAAATGATTAGAGATTAACTATAAAATCTTTATATTCTGATCTCTCAACGACGATTATATTTCTATAACAGAAAACAATTTCCATGAATATGTCGTAAAGTGCTAAAATCGTAATCGGAATTCAATCGTAAATGTTTAAAAAATAATTAAAATGTAAATTGTAAAATGACGATACAATTTTAATACAATTTTCTTCTAGATAATTTTTACAAGATTTGAATCAAGGCATGCGGCAATTTACGTATGAATATATTAGGCTAATCGTAAACCCTGGCAAAAGAATTTACATAATATGTATATGTAAAATCCGATATTATTTTCACTATTAATGCAGTGTACTCAATTATTTCTGTAATATGTATTGTAAATGTGATTTAATCGCCTTGGTATTGTAAATTTCACTGCGTGACGTGATAAAAAAATATTGTATATCATTTTATATCTAACGCTAAAAGTAGGATATCTTAAAACGAACAATACTATAGATTTAGTTATTCGTTGCACATAGTTGATGATGAAAATGCCCCGCGCACATTGACCCTACATCAAATTAATATGTAGAACCATAATTGTACCCAAAGAGAGTTAAAAGAATCTTCACGATTTAAATAGTACTTCATTTATCCATTTCCCTTTGAAGATATTTCTTGACGAGACTATATCGAGACACTTCTGTTTGTCATCACATCACGCTGTTCACTTCCCTTTATATATAACATTACATTTTTGGTCCGTTTTATATTGCTGTACAATACTTTGATATCCGATCACCTCTTCTAACTGCATAGCCAATTTGTGAAGCTAACCATCGCTACGTAAAGAATAAAACAATATATCTTTTACTGTGAAAGCGGTGGACGCTGTCTTTCTGTAAGTACTGCGTCGATACCGCGATCTTTCGTTCAAATTCATTGGCATTTCTCGCACAGTACTATTCTAACATGCTAACCTAGTGCTTAAAATAGGAAAAATTCTCTCTTTCATCTACATAACATAGCAAAAGTCCACACATATTATTTAATCTATTTAATATCCGTATAAATCTATCTATGGTACGTATGATACAAATTCGCTCTCTACGTTAACTCGTCCGTGCACAGTTTTCTCTCCTCCTCCACTCGCTGCCGAGTGCGATTAAAAGCCTCCGTTTTCACGAAATCCACGGTTTTGTACACTGTCGTATTCGGGAGGGACTGCGCGAGCGGTAACGTCGCGGAACTAAAGCTTTCTGTCGCTTCCAAGTCGAGATCCAGATACTGCAGCACCACCAAGCGATTGGACGCCGGAATAAACGTGTTGCGATCTTGATAATAGTATATCTGTAAATCGAATTACGCACAGCATATGAAATCACGTATCGCGCCACGTCACGTGCGACGGCTAAGATTACGCGTGATTCTTAGAATCGTTCTACAAACCTCCTCTTTATCCTCGAAGGCGTTATTGTCTTCATCCGACGTCGATTGGTGACGTGTCGAATGTATATGCGACGGAGGCGTTGGACTGGGTGCCGCCCGCATTCTTCCTCTTCCAGGGGGAGATGCTAATTGTAGATGAGGCGCTGCGAGAAAAATTAAACATATTTCTTTCACGCATTTAACGTATAAAAAAAAGGGGGAAAGGAAAATAAGGAAAATCTTACCCTCCACCGGCGATTTATTTAATGATGGCTTCAACTTCCTGTTGATGCTCGGCGGTTCGGCCGGAGAGTGTTCGGCGGAGCTCACGTCGTATAGCGCTATTGTCGGACCCGGTGACGGTTCGTTGCTTACGACAGACATCGAGTCGCTGGTTTTTCTGCCTGGCTTCAACTCTCTGTACACCATCGGCGGAGGCGGCGCCATGGTGGTCGGTACACCGCTCGAACAACCGTCTCGCACGAGCGGGCTCGGTAGATTCGAATACGTCGCCGTGGTCGAGTTTTCAGAGCGCGGACTTGACGGCTCGTCCTCGTGGAAATCATAGCGGAACACGTTCTGCGTCTCGTCGTTGATGGTGCTTGGCGCGGCGTTCGAATAGAAGTGCTTCGACGACTGATCGACCGCCGCAGTGTGGCTCTCGACAGTCGTTTGCGCCGCTTGCGGTTGATGAGATCTGGGAAAATCGTACGACTCGTCGGTCACGGCGCCCGTAGCCGTCGTCGCGGCGGCAGCGGGCGTCGTCGGCGCCGGCGTTGCCGGGGTACTCGGTTTCGAGCTCTCGGTGGCACCGTCTAGATTCAGGTAATTGTGACCGGGATTCTCGGGTAACATATGAGGCGGTTTCGGTGGTCTGGGCGGTGCTGGTAACTTCTCCACGGCCGGTGGCACCGCGGAATCGACGATCCTGAGCTTGCCGAAGCGTTTTCTCACGCTCCATGAGCCGATCTCGTGGTCGCCCGGGCCGTGAGGTTGCCGTGAATCACCTGTCACGATTTCATTTCATTAGTAAAAATAATAAAAAAAAAAAAAACCGAATTGAATCACGCGCGCATTGTCACAACACACACCCGTTGAGGGAAGCGTGTCCCAGTTCGCGCTCGTCACAGACGTCGTCCATTCGTCGTCGGTGAAGACGCTCTCGGCGTCCGTCGTCGTGGGTGATCGCGGCGGGGAGGGCGCCAATCTTCTCGGGGCGTCGTAATGCTCGGGTCCCTGTCCAAGGGCTGAATTCAGGGAACTGGTATCGTTGAGCCGACGACCAGAAATGCACTCGCTAATAGGAATGTAGGGACCGGAGATCGTGCTAGTGGGCGAAGTTGGCGGGGATTCTTGAGACTCGTATTGAAACACTGAAAGGAGAATTCACGTGTGCTGCTGTTGAAGCTTACTTTCAACGATCTGTAATTGCGTCAGATTTCAGGATTGAACTCTACTTATACAATTTCATATGCATTTTAGTATGGATGTGTATTTTATATGTGTGTATTCTGATTCTTTAGACGGTTTTTTTTTTATTGCTTATAAGATTGTAGATAGAATCCAGATTTCTAACATGAATTATAGATCGTCTGAAGCATGTTTAATGCAAGAATGCATAAGCAGCAGGATATACGAGATTGAAGTTAAAATTTCATTACTTTGTTGCTCTTCATCCTGAGTGTATGCCTTCAAGCCGCAAACTTGACACACTGCATCCACCCATTTGTTCATATCCACTTCGTTCTCAGCAACCAAATAATAGATCCGCTTTGGCGTCTTCACGTTAAACATGTACTGATACTTCTGTTTACGATTTTCGAATCGAAGACCTGCGTCCACCTGTGACAAAGTACTGATAAGCGTCCGTAGCTCGTGAGAACAGACTTTATAAAGATAATGCGGACAAGCACCTGTTCGCACTGGTCCAGATCGATACGGCCCTTGAGTTTACGGCAGCGTCTGTCCGTGTAATACTCCAGAAAGTATTGACCAGGCAGCTCGCCGCTGTGACGAAGGGCAAACCATCGTTTTCTCCATCGCTATTAGAAAAACATATTAAAGATAAGATTATTTACCTTCACCTCTCAAACTTATAGCCGCGATACTCCTATCAATAAAATTCCGATAAACGACCGATAAACTTGCTACGTCGCTTATCGCGAGAATTATACTTTTCCTCGAAAGCACGAGTCCCAAAAATCTAATCGAAAGTAACGGGAAGAAAAGTCTCGCGTATAAATTCTCCCAGAATTAGGTTAGGTCGGGGTATCTGTCGTCGCAGAATTGGCTCTCGACTTTTCTCGAGCTCTCTATGGGAAATTAAGCGAACGTTCCGGAGCCCGCAATCGACTCCGTCCGTAGACAAAAAGAAAAGGGGGTCTGGCGATGCCCAGGGGGGAGACGTAAACAATGATCACGCTCCGTCTGGGAGCCTCGCAGACGAGGGATGCGAACGCGACGCGCACAATCCGTTTCGCGCTTGATACCGACCGCTCTCCAGAGCTTCGTGGGCGGCGATTTGATGAGCCAGCCTTCGTGGACGATCTCCTGGGACGTCTTGAGCACCTCCATCTCTTCCTCCACCCGGGGGACGACGGTCAGGGTGGCGCGATCGCTCGCTCGCTCGCTCGTCAAGCGATATTATTCTCAGTGGCGCGGGGGCATCCTGGAAAAAAACGCGCGCGAGGAGAACCACCGGGCACCTACGACGGAGACGACGACGCGCTCGTCGCCTATTTGTCTATTTTTGGCCCCGACGGCGCAACACGGAGAGACCGAGAACGAACGACAATCCCTCACGTACGCACTACGCACACCGTCGACGACTGCCCTCCCCCCCCCTCTCCTTTCTCGAGCTTGCTCGCGCGCGCACGCGCGACGGTAACCGACTACCGACACGCGGAGAAACGGAGTCAACGGTGACTGACACGGAGCGGCCCGCGACTGGACGGGACACTGCGCCCTGCGGATCTCGACGCGGCGCACAAAGACGTACGCGCGCGCGAACGCCGACGGGACGGGACGGGACGGGACGGGACCGGGGAGTCCGGGGACTCCTGTGTTCTCCGTCTCGCTTTGTTCCGCGTTTACCACCACCCGGCCGTCGCGGCCACGCGTGCCAAGGCTCGCGCGAGTGACATGACACACGACACGGCGCCCAGCGCCCACTCCGGCAGGGAGTCAGGGAGTCCGGGGCCCGTCCGCGATGACAGCGCAGTGACGTACGAGCCCCCGCGGTCGCCCGAATCCACGGATTAGGCGTTGCCTCCGCGTGCCTTCGATATCTCGCGACATCTCTCTCCCTCCGCTCGCCGAGAGAGAGAGAAGGAGAAATTACATCGCGCGGTCAATCGAGGTTAAGAACTCAACGAGGGTGCAAAAACGGCGTTCGTGATGCTTTAGGAATGAATCGGCGCCCCCCGCCCCCGCCCCCCGCCGCGCTTTCTCGCGGGGGGCATGGCACTGTCTCCTCGATATATTCGAGAAATTTCCAATGACGCGCTGCCGATGTTTCGTCATTGAGAGAAAATGCAGAGCATTCACCCGCACGCTCCTTCGTTTTTCCGTCTCAAAAGTTTAAAATACTGTGGCTGGCATATATAAGGATGACTTCGATCGAGCTTAATTTAACCGACGATCGATTCAATCGGCAGAATCGCTCGACGAAAAATTTTTAATTGTAGCTTCGTTATCCCTAGTTTTTTCTACGTATGAAATAATTAAATAGCAAAATAATATCATCTCTGTTAATAAAATATTAGTGTAAGGCATCTGTTGATAAGTTAATCGCCGATTTAATCGGAGCTTGGTCATCAAGGAAAAGCCGCTCTAAACGCCGTGCTTCGATTACTCCGAGCGAGAAGGAAGAAGCGAATCGACGAGATAATTTATAAGTTTCACGGTATTTAGGCAAGTGCCTCGGAGCGTCGAGTTCCGTTTTATCGACTCCTTTTTTCTCTCCCGCGGGTATACACATGCCGCTCGCGAACGCCGGAGCGCAACGGCGCGGATTAGTGACGACGCGCTCGCGGAAGGGCAATGCCGCGCGCATGGCGCGCATAATGCGGGGAATAGCCAGTTAATTTGCAATTCAATGGGCCGACGCCGTAGACCGGCGTAGACCGATCGATATTCGAATCCGGTTCTCGTCTATCGCTCCCGTTAATCCCGCGAATCTAGCGCGGAGAGCGCGACGAGAACGGACAACGAGCTTATCCGTTTACGATCGTCCCGTCCGCTGGCTGGGGGGAAAATCGCCCCGTAAAAATTCAGAAAGGACTCCACTGAACGCTAAATCTCTTCCTGTCGACGTGTCCGTCGCGGACGCGCGATTTTTCTCGCATCGCGAATGATTGCTGATGCAGTATAAATAGGAGACGTAAAAGATTTCACGACTCGCCTGGGGCCCGAATGAAACCCCTTGCGCTAAAACGCGAGGGGGATATTATAACGTCTTGCGCGTGCAGGATAGATAGGAAGGAGACGGCGAAAGGAGATCAGTTTGTATTATATGTACTCTGCGTTATACGCTTCTTTATTTTACACGTTTTATATACAGAAAAGAGGATACATAAAAAAATACATGAAAAGAAACGCTAAAGAAACGGTAAAAGGGGTGGAGAGGGGGGAAAGGAGGAAAAACGCAGAGATCCAGCGACAAAAATATACAGCGAAGCAAAATCCAGTCCGCGTGGAGGTGATAAGTATCTTTAGCCATTAAATCAACGTCGCTCCAATAAGCGAGGGTCAGATCCCCGGCGCGGCGTCCGTCGCTTTCCTTCGGGAGTGAGAAACGAAGACCGGGATACAATCATCCGTTGCTCAAAAACGCTCGTCCTCCCTCGTCTCGATTCCCCCTGGCGTGGAAAACCGCCTCTCTCTCTCTCTCTCTCTCGCGAAGAAAAACTATTAAAAATCACTATATCGCGTAGGCTCAAAACGACTCGATAAAAATCGCCCCGATTTAATTCGCTCGGGTCCTTCAGGTCTTTCGGGTTGAACGCTCCCGATTTCGAGGAATAACGCAATTTTTCTTCTCCTTCTTTTCGTCAAATTTCTATAAAGAGCCTCTCTCCTCTCTCTCTCTTTTTCTCTCACCGTCGCTTTGCAACTCGTACTAAAAATTCTAGTCTATCGTACATATTTTTTACATTGAGCGCATCGTCGGAGACGTCGACGTTCGCCGCTCTCCGCGATAGGTGTTTCGCGTGCGACAGCATTTATATCTCCAGATGGCAAAACGTCCCGTCGTATTTACGCAAATACGATTGCGCAAATAACGTATAAATGTTGTGTGAGTGTTCCCAAACGCTCAGCAACGGTATTGAACTTGTTTCAACAACGGTTTATACTTAAATATTCGTGTTACGTTGCTGCAGCAACGGTTTACGCCCGGCGCGCGGCGGCTCCATCGCTATATGGAGGGGTAAAAACCACAGTGGTGTAAGTCAAATTTTTAAAAAAATTTCACTTAGACCACTATGACTTTTACCCCTCCATATGTAGTTTATACATATTGATGGAAACGATTTACACACGTTATCGGTTTGCAGGAACAATACACATACATCCTTGCTGCGAGAGCGCCATAAATATGAATCCCCAGACACGAAGCTGGCGATTCATGTTTATCGCAATGTTTTTGCGGCGACAATGCGCAAAATTGCCTTCGCGCAACGATCTGCATGATTTTGCACACTCACGTTTTGCTATCCGGGATATCCGTCGCACGTGTCGTTCGCACGCGTGAGACGCGCGTGCACGTCCCCGAGGGACTCTGAACTTCCTCCCTTTCTATACGGCGTCGAGTTAAAACGTGGTGGAAAAAAAAAACGACGGGAAAAACCCGAGAGCGATCGCGTCTCGGACTTTGGATCCTACTCGCGGAGAATATACGTATCGCTTCCGGTCGCGTATTTATATATAGTTTACGCTAGATTTACAGGTCCCTTGCGCGATCGTAAAAAAGCGATCGTCTTTAGCAGAACGGCAGGACGCATCCTTCGGCGATTATACACGCGCGGGATAAGATTATCGGAGAGTATCTCAGCGTCCTTGGCAAAGTGTGTCAATTGGATTCATCCTTTATTCGGTATTTATTAATTATTATCTATGTCTCTAAGCGCTGGCGGCGGTTAATTGTTGGAGATCCACGGTTTTACAAAGTATACTTCTTTTTCTCTCTCTCTCTCTTTCTCTCTCGCTCTTTCTCTCTCTCACTCATTCTCTCTTATTCTCTCTGATAAAAATGATCGTCGCGATCACACGTGAAAAAGGCGTGTCTGAAAACGCACAGGTACAAACACATGCGGTGCCTCCGAATGACGATTACGCAAGACTTTATTTCGTCAGATTCTCTCGCGTTTTGCGTTAACGGTATATAATGCATTTATGTATAAATATATACAACGTATGTAATGTGTCAGTGTATGTATGTATGTATGTGTGTGCGTGTGTAAAACGCATCGCGATACCTTTCCCATCTCTCTTACGTTGCTACTCTCTGCAATTAGGGCGTCAAATTGCCAGCTACGTGAAAAAAAGGTAAGGGAGAAACAAGGACGAAGAGGGACCAGCAACACACACATACACGGCGAAGAACGAGCGGAACTAGGATCACTCGTCGCGAACTTTGGTCCCAGCTCGTGGTTGTCGGCGAAAGGATTTCTTGCCTGTGAAAAATGCCTAGAAGGAAAACCTCTCTCTCTCGTGGGACCCCCTCAAAATCGAAATGAAGGAGGAAGCGCGAGCGGGACCAAAGCGCGCGTGAGTAAACGGAGCTGTCGAGTCTAAACGGAAATCGAATGGAAATTTGTTATCTTCCTTACAAGCTACCTTAGTGTAGCTTTAATTGAAGTCACAATCTTGAGATAATTAACTACTACCTTTCTTAACGATTTCGTGACGACACGAATTGAAAAAATATCGTCGCATTTATACCGAAATTATATCGGGGGTCGACGAACTTGGAACTCCACCGGGCGTCATTGTAATTAAATTGGGCATCAATCAATCGGAGACTACGACGACAAATCCGTTCTCGTTACAGATAGCATATGATGAAAAAAAAAAAAAAAACTATAGTCTCCTCTCGAGTGTCAAACGCCAGCGGAAGAAATCCAAATAGCAAGTCCGCACAACGTGGGTCTTTCCGGGTTCTAGAGTTCTAAAAATGCGGGATGTAAAAACGACGTGAAGGGTGTGCTGTAAAAAAGAAAGCGAGGGCGGGGGAAAGCGAGGGGCCCCATCTCCTTCTCTTCTTTGCGCATCGAGTCGTCGCACACTCTACGAAAGCCGGCGGAAAAATAAAAATGGAATGTATTTTCGAAACTCTTTCTTTTAATAATCATATAACAATACTCGTTATATTCACGATCAACATACATTACTCTTATCTATACGTTGCAAATGTTACATAAAAAAGATATCCGTTCTGCGTTTTCTAAAATTATAAAAACGACGGTAGCAAAAGTTTCGGAACCTGGCGGGGCGGTGGAACGTCGTCGCGTTCCCGTTATTTTTTTTTTCTTTCCTTCTGTCTTGTATTAACGCTAAAAACGATAGGTAAAAAAAGGACAACGGCGGGAGGTGGGGGGGGGGGGGGGGGGGAGATATAAGTGTAACGTAACTAAAGTTTTTTCCTAAGTCACTCTGCGGTTTTTTTTCTCTCTCTCTCTCTCTCTCTCTTTCTCTCTCGATCGATCTCAGTACACGTGTCTAGGAGTCGTTCCGCGAGAACGGCCGAAATCCCGTTAGGGGTAAAAGGAAGGAACACACGCATATCATCACGTCATTGTGCAATCTCTTATCACGAACGGCGAAACGCACTATCGGCGCGAGGACGAGAGTGCGGCGCAACGAAACGAGGAAGAAAGAGGGAGAGGAGCCGAGGAGAGATCCTCCCTCTCTTTCGCTCTTTATATATATATATATTATATATTCCTTTTGATGGTCGGGAGGGACGGGGGAGAAACGTTACATTATGCGTCTCATTAATCTTTAATTAGATCATTAATTCACTATTTACGAAAAGTCATAATAAAAAGTAGTACTCTATACTCGGTATTTCAATAATATCGTAATAATAATTTTATATATATATATATGTATATTCCTATAGCTTTATCTATAGTTATCGTCTATAAATCAAATAATTAATTAATTAATTCATAATGTATCGTCGCGCGCGCGTGTATGTATACAGATCGCAACCTATTCTCTCGAATACGCTTCATAAATATAAAAAAGAAAAAATTGTATGTAATATTCATATATATATATATAGCGTTGCATGTAGCATTCATCTCTCTTTCTCGTTCGCTCGCTCTCTCGCACTCTCTCGCTTATAATAGTAAATCTCGTTACGAATGCCTCGTGCACCAACGAATCCCTCTCTCGTGGCATCGCTCCCCCTTTCTCTCTCCCTCCCTCCTCGTATCTCCGATATTAAATGTGCAACCATCCGAGAAGAGAAAGAGAGAACAATGCCCGCGCGTCTGCAGTTGTAAGCACCGTTGGTTGGTATTGTCGATCGACCGCGTCTCGAACGAGCCCTATATAAAGGGCTCGATTTTCGCAGCTTCTCGCCCACCCTCGTTCGCGACTTTTGCGACGGCGAGAACGGAAGTTGACGACGAATGGCTACGAACGTCGTCTCCGAAGGGAAGAGCTCTTGCCCGATCGCGTTTTCTTTGTATAAAATTTCACCTCTTCTTATTCCACGATTCCTAATTGATTAATCGGACGCGAGAGTTGGCACGCGCGGCGTTCGAACTGTCTGTAATACTATTCAAGAGTGTCTCGCTACCGCGAAGGTGCGCGCACCACTTTCAGATTTACAACACTGCCCTAAAAACACAGCCATACTAAGCCAAATACTTCTTTTTGGGTTTCGTCATTTACACGATTACCTCATTCCTTCACTACTGAAATCGTTCATTTAAACATCTACACTCGATTACCGTCGTCTCCGTGCGTCTTTCCCAAACAATTCTCGCTCGTTTCTCACCGATTGTTCGATTAAAAAAAAAAAAAACAAGGAAAAAGCAAAAAAAGAATTAAAAAAGATGAGAAGGAAAGGAAAGGAAAAACCGCGTACATGGTCGCCCGCGATCCTGTTCGATCTTCCAAAGCCTTTAGCATCCGGGAATGAAAAGCGAATCCGAATTGGGATGGAAAGAAAGGGCTCTCCCTTTTCGGAGTAGACGGAGAAGCGAAAAACCGTCATGCGAAGCGACGCGACGCGCGTTCTTCCTCCGCGAAACGTAATCTACGAGGAGCGTTCGATAAGTAACGCAACACATTTACTCATTCAAGGTTCGTTTTAAACGCATCGTACTTTTTCCCAATTCTTTGGCTACGAAAACATAATTTTCAACACGGTCTTCATTCAATTCTATGGCCTTACGCTATTTAGATGCGAAGAAAACCTGTAGGGGATTCTGCATGTGTCGAGATACGCAGAAGGGCATATTAGAATTTTTAAACAATGGCCACAGGGCACAAGGTATGCTTGAAGTTCAGTAATGTCCGGGGCTACCCCCCGTTCCCCTACGTCCTTGCGATGCCACCCTACCTCTCAGTTTTCACTTTCTTACTACGGCTATGACTTCCTTGTTACTGCCATATCTCTTCCCGCAGATTGCATCTTTCAGAGGACTAAGGAGATAAAAGTTAGAAGGTGTTGCGATAGAAATGAGGTTCCTCTGGGTGAAGAACGACATTCCGTCGTACAGATCCCGAACACCTCCTGATCCTCCCATCTCTTTGGCCCCCTGACAGACGCAATACGCGATAACGTTTAATAACAAAAAAGTCATAGCCAAAGTAAGAAAGTGATTGTGAGACCGGCAAAGTGGTACCGCAAGGGCTCCGCATACAGGCTGTCACATCTTGTGGCGTAAGACCATAGAATCGAATGGAGATTATTTAAACCTGCAATAAAACAAACCTTGAAGTGAGAAAAATATATGTTGCATTACTCATTGAACCCTTCATAGAAGGAATGTGTCTCGAATACCAAGTTTCCTTTTCTTTCTTATCTCTCGTCTCTTTATCTCAATCGAGACTCGTCACGTTGCTCGGGAGGGAGGGGGCGCGAAAACGAAGTCTGGGTTCGCGATCCGCGACGTCGACGTTCGCCGGAAGTGCGGGCGAACGGAGGGAACGGCGAACGTCGACGGTAAGGAGTTTCGGAGGACTCCGATTGCACTCGTAACGATCCACCCGAAAAGAATCGGTGCACCCGATCAAGGTCGACCGCTGATCTTGATCGAGTTCCGTCAAGTTGGCTCGCTCTCTTTCTCTCTCTCTTTCTCTCTCTATCTCTAACTCTTCTCCCTACGTTCTTTTCTTTCTTTTCCTCTACGCACCGTTAATCCCGCGAGAGTGACTTAACGAGGAACACGATCAAAGCGCGTGCCGCTGAGAGTTCAAACGAGAATTCGTAGCGCATCGGTGTGCTGTGAATGAACGTACGTCTTGAGCGAAGACGTGTACATATGCCGGCGTTACGTGTGTATGCATACGTTTCTCGGTGTAGCCAGTCAAGGAGTTATCCGATGGTGTCGCTTGATAATTAGCTCGCGAGCCTAGGAGTCCCGATGATCGCGAGAATCGTCCTCGCGATCGCTCTTCTTTTCCTTTTTTTTTTTACGTCAGCCTTGCTTTCACGCTACGGGTGTGTATGTGTGTATATGTACGTGTATTAGTTTTAATCTTCCCTTCCGATTTACGTTTCTATCTCAATCGTCAGATGACTTAATTGTACACGATATAGCTATATTATACAAAGTATGCACTTCAAAAATATCCGACGCCACGGACCTTTTGAACCACAACATGCTCACGCACTCCCACGTTATTACTAAGTCGTTTTAAATAGGTGGCGAAGAAAAAGGTGGGGGAGGGAGGCGGATCGGGGTGGCCGAGCGAAGGGCGAAGGCGGGGGCGAGGGGAGGGAAAGGAGGAGGAGGAGGAACTTACACTTAGAGCTTTACTATGATACAACACTGGCAATAGTCATGTAATGTGGTTCGGTGTGTGTTTTGTACGCGGGCCAATCTGTAAACCCGTGTGTAGTAATAACGCGCGTGAACTCGTCTCTCTTTCGTTTGTTTGCAAATATTACAATAGATTTATGCATGAATTGATCATAGTAATAGATTAATGTTGATAATAATAATAATAATATATTATAATATATATATAATAATATTAATAATAATTAATCAATAATGGGCAGGTAAATTAATAATCATCGATAATAATAGTCTAGTATTTACAGAGCTTTCACGCGAGGGCCCGGTACTCGAATACGCACTCTCGTTAGTTACATTTTGATTGAACTGTACACACGCAGTGGACCCTCAACCGGAGAAAACTACGTCACCTCTCTTCCTTCGTCAAAATTAACACGTTTTTTTTTTTATATATAAACCTTCCCGCGCGCACTAGCAGCCTGTTGTGAATTTCTATTTTTTGGTTACGACAACGTTAACTCGTCACATGAGGCCGATTCTCTCGACAAGACACTCGGTTGAACAGGCATCCTGTCGAGAGTATCGCCGTTTTTTTTTTTCAAGTTCGACTTTTCCACAGACGACTCGCGGCATTCGAAAATGTGCGGAGTCACTCACGATAAATCCATAAAATTTCGTGGTTTAAGTTACAACCTTCGGTGTGGCGCTTAGGAATTATCCTCTTAGTAACAAATTTTTTTCTTAAACGAACATATTACTTAGCGTACGACCTAAATTATATTTTTTTTCCCCGTACATACAACATTCTAATGGATTCTCCCTATCTATGTGTTATCGTTTATCTTTCATACAAGTCTTTATCATATACTTTGTATTTTTCGTTACGTTAATAATAGTAGCGGTATATAATTGCGTACATTTACGCAAATACTAATTACGACCTAATAGTATTTGAACTATTAATTATTAATTAACGTTAAGTATACACAACATACATATATGTATATATATATATATATATATAATGTGTGTGTATATATATATATATATTTGTACGATTTCACTCACCCTGCACGAGTAGCAGCGAGGAAGAGTGGTAGAGTCGAGGGGGCTCTGGAGGATACGAGGGGAGAATACGTAATAATAGTCTCTCGATAGTTTCGCTTTTTTGTTCCTCCTCATCCTACCGATTTGCGGTACTTTCTTCTCGACCAAGGACGAAAACAATTTTGAGTCTATTTGAGCCAGGCCGAGTAGAATTGAAAAGCACCAAACGTCGCGTTAATCTTTCCCTTTTGTCTTTCGACGTATCGCATAATGTAGAAAATCGAAAGAGAAGATATACGGCGTGCGCGCGTGCGCGTGGGCGCGCGAACCGAGCGTCTCGGTCGCATCGAGGATCGTGTAATCAGAAACTATCCTGCGGCCCTAAGGGAGTTCAAACCCTCAGGCATGTCAGGCTCAATCAGGCTCGACGAAACTTGATGGAACGCGCGGCTTGTCAGGCTTTCACTTTAAGCTGCGCGAGCGCGAATTTCTCAAGATAAATTATCTAATAGTCTCATAATTTCGCGAACGTTTCGTATTATTTAAATTCACGCGACGCAGACGGTCGCAGCCGTCCGAGTGCCGCCGTCGTCGTCTCCGTTAATGGAAACACTTACATAACCATCGACCGATGTGATCGTCCGTAACAGTCACTACAACCCCTCGACGAATTTGGAGAGTTGGTCCTGTGGCGTCATTGGCGTCACCTCGTTGGCGTCTGCGCCGCCATTCGTGGGCGCCGGCGCCGGCGAGGGATGATGAGGCATAGCGGCGGGATGGCCAGTGGGCGCACCTGGACCGCCACCCAGCTGCGAGAGCATCATCTCGCTGGGACCGCCGCCGAGCTCGTGGGCCGGCGAATGCGTCGGCGTGCCGTGAGGCGGATGGTGATGCGGCGATGGTACCGGACCCGATCGCGGCGACGGTACCGGCTGATTACGCGGGGAAGGGACAGGTCGTGGCGAGGGGTTGGGCTGTGGAGATCGGATGGGCGGTGGCGAACGGACTGACTGCATCAATTGTTGCTGTACGGAGATCCCCGGCGGACCCATGACGCCTTGCGGCGAGGGCACGGGCGGTGGAGTAGGTTTTAGACCTGCCTGACCGTAGCCTTGTTCGTTGAAACCTCCGTAACCTAGGGAGTTGGGCAAGTGTTGGTCTCGAGATACCGCTCTACGTATTATAGCCCCACTGCTTTCTAAGTAATTACGATAGTTCATGTAATTACCAAGAAGAGATGGTCGTATAGGTCGTTGTTGACCATAGGGTGGCGCTGGCGGCTGAGTAAACGGCTGCTGCTGCTGCTGCTGCTGTTGCTGTTGCTGCTGTTGTTGTTGCTGTTGTTGCTGCTGGGCCACCTGCTGTTGCCTCTGTTGCATCTGCTGCACCAGCATCTGTTGCTTGTACCATGTTGCTTGCGACTGCTGCTGCACTGGCTGCTGTTGTTGCGCCTGCTGCGTCAGCATCTGTATCTGCAGTCTACCCTGCTGCTGCTGCTGTTGCTGCTGCGGTTGTTGCTGCTGCTGCTGCTGCGGCTGCTGCTGTTGGGACATCATATGCTGCAAACCAGGTTGCTGTTGTTGTTGGGGTTGATTAGGACCCAATGGGCCGACTCCCCCACCATGCTGACCAGGTTGTTGCTGATGAACAAGCGCAGTCTATTTATTAAGAAGATCAGAGTAGTGAAATCTGTGTAATTATATAGATACATTATATATATTTTTCAAGTGTTAACCAACTCACTCGTTGCTTGATAAAGGCGGCCATCAACGGTGGATTGCTCTTGAGTATTTGAAGTATTTGGTTCTGTTGGTCGGGCGTATGTGGGCTCCTGAGAGTTTGCATCAACTGTTGAAGAGCATGCTTCTGCATATTGCTTGCCTGTGGACCGACCTGTCCAACCGGTCCAATCACGCCTGGTTGCCTCGGCATTTGCGCACTCATTGCCATCGGTTGAGGCTGATGCTGCTGCTGTTGCTGCTGCTGCTGCATCAGCTGTTGCGGTGTCTGCTGCCGCGCCAAGTTGGGATTTTGTTGCATCACCGCATTCGACTGATACCTGCTAAGAGAAGAAGAAACACGCGCAGGACTAAAAAAACGCGTTCTTCCTCTACTATAATTCGTTAGTCAGTAAGGTATTGGTAAGAAGTGTCATATAAACATAAGGAAAATTATATAAGAAAAACCGTGTAGATTTAATAGATACCTTGCAGCTGTCCACTGATCCATCGGAATGAGATGCGTGCCACTGGGATTCGGCATCTGGACCGGCAACGGCCGCTGCATTTGTGGCGGCGGCATTACTCCGCCCGATTGGCCGCCCACACCGACACCTACGCCAACACCACCGCCCGGCGTCACCTTGCCGTAACTGACATGCGGTGCTTGTTGCCTCGCTGCTTCCTCTTGCACCTGCTTCACCACCTGTAGGACATGAGCGGGAGGCGGCTGCGTCCCGGGTTTCAATCCAATACCTTGTTGATGCGGTGACGGCAAATTCGATGTGCTGACACCAGGTTTCATAGCGGCTCCAGGTGTCATGGCAACGTTCGAGGTCTGTTGCCCAGCCTGCATTGCGGCTACAGGTCCGGTGGGCCTCGTATTCATCACAGCCATTCGCCTCCTACACGAGTAAACGCGAATATTATCAATACATACACACATACATCTAATACATACACAAAAAGTCGATGATTCTACTAACCTAAGCAGTTGCGCCTGTTGTAATCGTTGCTGCAATTGCTGCTGCTTTATCTTGTGCTTGATGTTGGAACAGAATGGAACGAGACACTTGGTCTCTTGGCAGTGTTTCGCATGATAACAACACAGCGCAATCAGCTGTTTGCATATAGGACAACCACCATTGGTCTTTCTCTTACAATTCTTTGTATGCATCACCACTCGCTTCATCTTCTGGCAACTCGGTAGACGACAGTTAGCATCTCTGCACTGGCAGGCATGCACCAATGATTGAATGCATCTCTGTATCGATAATTTCCTGGCCTCCTACGTTGCAGAAACAAAAAAGATACGAGCACATTATAGGTTTATCGTAATTACAATACATAGATATTTTTAGAATAAGCCGACAAGTTACCTGTGGATTTGTTTGTTTCGCATCCGCAGGCGAAGAGCCATCATCCAAATCAAAGCCAAGTTTCTCCATCGGATGCGGGTGACCGTCCTTATCTTTACAACTTACACATAAATCGAAATCCTGTAATATAAAGTCGGAATTACAGTAAGCACGAAAGTTATGAAAAGTAGTGAGAATATTTTTCTCCAAAGCAATCTAATACGTACGTCACAAACTGTACAATGGTATCTGGTCTCCACATGACTCTTGCAGTTATTGCAAGTGTAAACAAACTTGTCTTGGCCTTGATTATGTAATTCGTACAGCATAGACATAGAACTGAACTTCGCTCTTCGAAGAGATGAGAACTCGTAATGCCTCTCTCTTGCCATTGTGAGAAATGCGTCACGGCCGTCCATCAGATCACAATTGATGACGGGATCGGGATCTTGGATAGGCTGAAGATTTAGATAAGAATTAATCTACGCATTAATAATACGTAGATACGAATTAATAATCGCATAAACCAAGCTTCTAAGGAGGAGAAATGTAAAATATAAAAAAAAACTTACTCCCAAACTGGCTGCACTTTGAGCGTGGTGCAACCTAATGACGAAAAACACCTCCTTGTGTTTTTCCATGGTGGCAAAGATTTTTGCGGAAAGATCATTGCCGGTCTGAGGAGTGTTCGATTTTTTGCTGTTTTTCCTTTGATTCGCTTTCGATTTGTTGGATTTTTTGGCCTTCTTCTGACCCTTCTTCTTACCGTCTGGAGTTTCCGCGTCTTCAGACAGCGAAAATATCTGAGAAGATACAAAGCCGAGGACATAAATATATTAGACGAGAAAGACGGTTATTGCGTGCAAATAGAGACATTTATTTTCTATAACTTACCGCGTTTGCCGCTGCAGCAGCTGCTTCCGCCGCTTCAGCTTGTTTACGTTTCTCTTCTTCTTCTTGATCTAATTCTTTAATACTTTCTTCCAATACATTCGGCCAAAAGTCGCCCTCAAAATATGGCAAGTCCGCCGCGGACGAAAGCCTGTCTTCCATGGCTTGTTTTAAAATGTCCTGTAAACAAAAATTTCATTTGTATTTCAGTTTCGAAGTAAAAAAATGCATGCGCAAAAAGTGCATGTAAAAAAAAAAAAATGTCGTCTGCAAATCCTATGTTCAGTGCTATAAATGTAACAAGAACACTAGCTTTACCGCAGACATTAATTTAAGTCTCGTTTGACACCGATACGATATCGCGACACGTAACGGAAACACAAGAGACTACTTTAAAAATCAACGAAATGTATTTTTCTGCTAACCTTATAATCGAGCACGATTCTTTCGACCATTCCTTTATCCAACATCTTCTTATACCACTCCTGCAACCTCTTAGGCTTTGGTATTTTTTGTTCTGCGGGATGGCAGTGGAAGATATAATCGTCCCCTTCGGAAGGTGGACAAGCCCATATGTGAGCCATTGTATACCTGTAATTTCACATTTTCTTTGTTTCGTATTTTTTTTTAATATACACAAAATTCATACCTTAATATATATTATCATATGTGCACTACATAACATCCAATGTAATTTTTTTTTGCTTAGCAATAAACTTACCCGAGTTGTTTCGCATAATCGAGATATCCAAGAAGAATCTCGTGATACACAGCCGTTCGAAATTGTCTAGGCCGGAAGAAGTGGACAGAGTCCAGATATGCGATGTAAACCCGTCTGGTGTTCGGCGGCGTGCATTCGCTTCCGTACTCCTGTACGTGCATACCGAAAAAACAGACGTCGGTGCCGTCAACCTCCTCGAACGCAAATAGAGCTTTCGCGCGGTACGGGAATTCGCCGGGCATGTCACCATTCTCGACGAATCTGCTCCGCATACCGGGTTTGACCTCGACCACTTTGTCGCTAGAAGCGACCACTCTGATCGCAACCTCACCGGCGCCCGCTTCCTTTTTCTTCAGGAAATTGTTCACGCGCGTCTCGATATACGTGCCGAGTTTCGTTACGGGCAATCGTTTGGCATTGAACTTATTTTCTTTGCGTTTCTGTCCCTTCTTCTTTAAGCAATTATCACAGGTAAACCTGTCAAGGGAAAAGTAACTTCTAAGTACACGAGTACATCTCAAATCGCGAGAAAACATAATACAAATTTTTTCGCAGTTTCTTGGTAGAATAAAAGAGAATTATTTACCCTAATGGCCAGATTGCTTCCATATGGAGTACACAAATTTGATGTACCCTCCTACCACAGTCAGTACAGGTTACAAAAGGTTCCAATTCTAAGTGATCATTCTTCATTTCCTGGAACTGTTCTTTTTTGATGGCACTACGAGGAACAGAGACGTCTTATAAATCATACCGGATTGTTAACAAGATTACGCACGTTATTTGATATCACTTACGTTTGAGGCTGCGTTGGATCGTCTCCCAACGTCACTGTGTCACCAGGAATGTCGTTGAAACATTTCTGACAGAAGGTGTATCTGTCGGAAAGAAGACCAATTCCCTTTAGACCGCTATTATATTGGCGCCGTGTGTTTTATTATGTAAATTCGATGTACGACGCCCAATTTTATTCCAAATGCGTGTCCAAGTCTCGGCGTATCGATTTCCGTCAATTTCCGGCAAGTGTTTTTTTTTTATATATATACATTCAATTTTTTCGTAATTACACGTGCATGCAATGGCCAATTGTTTCGGATCCGATTTTGGTTTCAAAAGATTGTGGAAAGACATCGTTTGGATTTTTTTTTTTTTCAATTAGAGTTTTCCAAGTATCGAGTTTTTCGCAGTAGTAGAGTCGAAAAGAAGCAAGGTCGCAGGCAACACAAGAAGTAAGCGGCAAACAAGGATTTGTGTATGCGTGCGCAACCCATGGGCGAAGATAACATACAAAGAAGAGAACAGTGCCAATGTTAAAAAAATATCAATTTATATGTCATTTTCTAAATTCTAATCGCATATACCGAAAGGCTATGTAAGGCCATTTATATCCGTCGATCAATAAGCTTTTCTTACAAACGCTTTAACTTTCCCCACGGTCTACTTTAAGGCTACATTTTCTACTTTCAATAAGATACATATCCCTTAAGTATATGCGCAACTAATAAAGAAACTTTAAGTGCGTGAGTTTAATACGAGAGAAAATTCGTACATGTAGCTTCGAAAAAGTGTAGCTCAGGGGACTGACCTGCTTTTGCAAACATTGTCAAAAGCAAGTTAATTATCCTGTCAATTTAATTTAGCGTATTCAGCGACAGAACACTTTTATATTAAAAAGGCCTATGCAAGATGAATACGCGAAGATCACCGTTCTTCAAATGCCCTATAGTATAGAACATTACTTCAAGTGTATATAAATTGTTGCGACATTTTGTTACAAATATTACAGATGTGTCGCCATTGTGCCTTCTGATTACAAAAATTGCTCAAACTAAATGTAACATAATACTTAAAATGCCATTTCTCACGTACTTAATGCAGATTGAGAAAAGTATAGTGGATTAAGCAAACTTCGACAATTTGAAGTGAGAATATATATCTATGTGTAAAAATATATTAATATATTAATATTTTGATATTCAGCATTAAATTATCTAATATATTTAACATTAACATTTTAAGCATTAGTATTTTCAAATAACGTATTCTCTCACGTCAGTTAAGTTCCATGCATCATAATTCAATATGAATTGAATGTACTGTGTACACTGACCTGTTCTGATACGAGTAATACTTTGCATCCCTGGGTATCGTGCACAGCTGCTTGCCGTAGCAACAGAGCACCTGCGGGTTGAAGGTGTATTTTCTGCCGCAACAATACCCAAGGTTCTGCATCACGGGGTCTATCTCTTGCTCGAAAACTTCCGAGAGCTGTTTGAAAATAACAAAAAGAGTTAATTATATACAAACACGTAAAGTATGTTTGCGATAATGTCAGATAAATATTACCTTGGTGCAGTATCTGTAGACTCGTGAAGTCTTGCGGTTATAGAGCCAGGCATTGTCAAACATCATCCATACATCGTCGACGTACTCCCACGGATCGCTGTACTTCTCCGTGTCCAGTTTTTTCTTGATCGTCGACAGATCCATCGGTTTCTTCACGATGGTTGGATAGTCCGGTATACCCAACGCTTGCGGATCCACCGGTTGCCGAAACGGTATAGACTCGGGATCTTGTCTATATAGTTTCTCCAATGTCGGCATAAGTGCCTGTCTAAGATCATCGGGCTTAAACAGGCACTTCTTCTTGTCAGTGGATCCACTTGGTTGAATAGGTTCCAATACCAAGGGCTTGATATCGGAAGCGGTCATGCTCTCTTCTTTAATACCGGGAGTCATGCTCTCTTCTTTAATGCCGGGTTCTTCCTTCACGGTCGCCTCGTTTGAGCCCTCTTCCATTGGTTCGGTCTTTGGCTCGGTCTTGATATTAATCTCATTGTTCACGCTCTTACCGTCCATTCTGTGATTCTGTGACTCATCTGATGGATCTTGTTTTATCTCCATCTTTATCTCCTCTTTAATGGAATCCAACTTGCCCTTGTTGTTATTCATCGGCGGGCTGGGTGAATTGTCACGATCCAGCGCTGCCGTGATGGCAGCCATCTGCGAGGACATGGACGTGCTGCGTGGAGTGTTCAACGCTGCCCGTTCCTGCGAGGTCATACCCTTACCAAGACTCGCAAGGCCAGCAGGGGACGGTGTCGGGCCCGAATGAGGCGGCGTCTGATTTGATGCGGAAGAGACAGTTTGATTTGGTGTCATTAGCGACGGTACAAGCGGCGTGTTCGGCGTGGAAGTGGTTGACTGAGGCCCGTTCGTCGTACCCGTAGTTGTCGCAGATACACCACCCGTTGGGCTTGGCCCGCTGGACACGGGCGGTGGTATCGTCTGCGGTGTCGATGTCGCAATGCCATTGTCATTAGGCGTGGAAGCTGACAACGGTCGAGTTGGGAATTGCTGATTCGATTGCTGTTGTGGCTGCTGCTGCGCGCTTGGTTGTTGCATGCCGCTAAACGGTGATGGTGCTTGCGGAATCGACGTTACTGGAGTACCGACCTGGCTCGGAGTACTCGTCGGTTGTGACTGTTGCTGACTTTGCTGCTGCTGCTGTTGCTGTTGCTGTTGCTGCTGCTGTTGTTGTTGTGCTGCTTGAGCCTGGACCTGCGCCAATCTAACTTTCATGAGGTCATCCTTGAACTGATGTTGGTTTTGAATAGGAGAACTGTTGGGTAAACCAACAGCTGTGCCATTGGACGTCGGAAATTGACTAGTCGTTGCATTGTTAGACGCAGTAGTGGTTGTGAGATTAGCCTGGGACATTTGGGGGTTACCAAACGGGCTGATTCCAGGATTAGGCACATATGCCATATTGGCATTGGATGTGGATTGCCCGTTCGGGCTAGGACCAGGAGGACCGACCAGGATTCCTTGTTGCTGTTGCTGCTGCTGAGCTTGGACCTGCTGTTGCTGTTGCTGGGCTTGTTGTTGTTGTTGTTGGGCCTGCTGCTGTTGTGGGAACTGCATCCTATTGTGCTGCTGAATGGCCATCGCTGGTATTGTTCCGAGTTGACCCATACTTGGTGAGTGACTTCGTAAGGTAGGTGGTACTGTCCCAACAGGTTTCGACGCTCCTGGCATAACAGTACCTACATTCGGAGGCGCGCATGGCCTTAGTCCAGGACCAGATGTACCCGGCGGTTGCTGCTGCTGCTGTTGTTGTTGCGCTTGCAGTTGTTGCTGTTCCTTTCGTTTTTGTCGCTTTTCGTCTACGTCATTCGGTAAATCGCTCTTAGAATTTAGGTACATGTTAACTTAAAAAAAAAAGAAGAATATAAGAATATAAGAATATAAAAAAAAAAAGAATATGACTCTGTTACTTCTCAAAAAGTTAATTGAACCGTGTATGACTATGTGACATGTATATATTTTGTGACGTTTTCCAACAAGAATAGACGATACAGAATAACACAATAAATTTCATTCTTGTTTATCGAATGTTAAATAAGAATCAAATGATTCACTGTATTCTTTCACTTAAAAAAAAATTTAAAAAATAATAATGACAGAGATTTGGGAACTGACTACAAGACTGTGACTTTAATAAATCCTTCGATGTTGTTGAAATTACGTACCAAGTTCCTTTTGAATCTTGTAGATTTTCTCGGCCAGCAGATGATAATATTCCGACCGAGAGTTAGCCATTTCGTACATGTCGCCTTCCACCTTCCTCGCGTACGCGACCAAGTTGTGCATTCTTTTATCGAGCATAGCTTGTGGATCGGGAGTCGGGAATATTGCTTGAACCCTGAGAAAATAAGCAAACACACATGCTGGGACACGAGTTTCAAATGAGTGCGCGCTATTATGTATAATAAAAGTCTCACTAACAATTTATGAACGAGATGGTTCCTGAGATCTGGAGTGACGGACAGATGCCACTCCTTTGTTCCTTGCACCGGTGTCGCTGTGACTTGACCGGGTTGAAGACCGCCTGGAAGCTGTAAATTCGCTAATCTATTTTCCGCACCTATCACACCAGGTTGTCCGGACTCGTTCAAGCCGAACAATGTTTGCATATTAACGGACTGCTGTATATTGGCAGCGGCCGCTGCCGCGGCAGATGTAGGTCCGGTCGTTGGTACCGTCTGATTGCCGGCTACCCCGACCGTACTAGGATCGGAATTTAAAGGAAGAGATACGTTCGGAGCGACTACTTGTTGTCCGGCACCGACTACGGATTGTCCCGGTGCAGCTGAAACACATATGGGCGCCCATCGCTTGTTGCTTTTCGCGTAAAAATCTATACAAATCATATTTTATATTTTTAACAGAATAAAAAAATAATATAATAAAATATAGTTTTATATACACACATATATACATATAATTTTTGTAAGATGTTTTAGAATTGAAAAAAAAAATGCAAAACAATTAATAGATTTTTTATAATAAAATGTTGTGCAACTCACTCTGTGTTTGAGGTTGCGCTAATCTAACGTTCCCCAATGCCCCTGGAGGACCACCCGTCATGCCGGGAGCTGGCATTCTAACGCCCCTACCAACGCCTTGACCGGGTAAAAGCCCCGGTGTTGTTGTCGGACACTGAATTCCTAAAGCATCATAAGCCCTTCTCATTTCGGATGGGCTTGGATTTGGCTGATTATTTGGTTGAATTGCGGGTGCTAATAAAAATAATACATACATACAACATAAATATACATCGCCGAAACATTAAGATGTAAAATATATATTCTTGCGCACAATTACCTTGCGCAGAATTTGTCCTGTTCTTATTTGCTTGTTTTATCGGCAAGCAAACCGGACAATCACTTCGATTACAATGCTTCCAATGACTGATGATCTGCCTTGACATGCTACAGTGAGGCACGGTGCAATTCTTTCCGGCTTGACAATTCGTCATGTGATTTAGAACATTTTTCATAGTTTTGCAGTCCGGCAAGGTACATTGTCTCATCTCGCCGTTTGCTTGGCTTTCGCGTCGTTGACATTTATGTGCATGCAAAAGTAGCACCAACTGTTGCTGAATGAGTCTACATTTCTCTGGATCAGGTGTCGATTTCGCGCCTAAACGCCCCAGATAAAGTTCACATTCAGCAAAGATGTTACACAAGTAACACGATTTACAATGGTATAAGATAAACTTACCAGTTGGAGTACCAGTACCAGCCATTTGTCCTTGCGTAGCTTGCTGCGGACCTGGCTGTCCTCCGGTCGGCGCACCCGATTGTGGTTGAGCCGGACTTGGTGCTGGTGGTTGCGCCTGTTGCGCTGCCGCTCCACCTTCCTGACTACCCACAACGTTCGTAGTGCCGATCGGACCAGCAGTACCGGTAAATCTGCTGGCGGCGGCTGCCGCTTGCATGGGGCTCATATTCGTTCCTACACCCTTTTGCTGCGGTTTGACGACACCTACGGGATTATTGGTGCATACAGTTACTCCTGCTCCTGGTCCAATATTTGGAGAACCTGTATTATAAATTTTGTTTTCACCGTTCTACATCTACATCTATTTATCACACTGTTTTTTTTTTTTCGATATAAATATACAAAACAAAAGAGGATATATTTTATGTACCATAATTGTACGGATTCGACGCGCCTAATTGCCCCATAGTCGGTATATTTGCCATGTTAGGAGGAGCTTGCATCCTCGGACCACCCTGGCCGGGACCGACGATGCCGACTTGATGCACCTGTTGGTGAGGACTCTGCCCTCTCGCTGAACCAACCATATGCGCCTGTTGTTGCTGCTGCATCGCTACAGCCCTCGTGTTCATCATCCCGGGACCATTTTGCATCGGTGTAACCCCATGAGGAGCACCCGGATGATGTATCGCTTGAGTATTAGGGCCCATCATGGTTACCTTTAAAAGATTCTTGGTCAAATTCAACTACTTATCTTTTTATCGGAGAAAACATAGTTTACTGTAAGATTACGTTAATCAACGTACTGTATTTAAAGGTTGTTTGTTCAAACTGTTGGTTACTATCAAGCTTCCGCCGGCCATTCCTCCCATGTTGTTCCCGCTAGCGGAACTAGTCATCACTAAACCGGAGTTCATGCCGCCCGGCATCGACATCGCGGGGTTACTTCCGGCCATGCTCATGGACGATTGTAAACCGCCCATCGAATTCGCGATCGACATTTGATTATTCGCCAACGAACTGGCTATACTACTTGGTAGGTTACCAAGACTCACGACCATCTGCGGATCGACTATCCCTCCCTTGGAAACGGAAACGTTCGGTGGCGATTGCATATTCGGACTTTTGTTGCCTAACGTTCCCGCAGCCATTACTAAGGAATTCGCCACCAAGTTTTTGTTGCCCTGTTCAACGATTGTTTGTGAAATATAACGTCGTTTAACAAAACTCTAAGATATCTATGTGATATAACGCATACCTGTTGCTGGAGGAGATGATGAGAGAGTTGTTGCTGCTGCTGCTGCTGCTGCTGTACATGTTGTCTGAGTTCTGTATCGAGAGCACCGTTTTGCTGCCCTGGGCCAGGACCGGTCGCTGGTGGCTTAGTGCTCTCGGTCGTGGAACCCCAAGAACCAGATGACAGCAAGTCATCGGGAAGATCATTTTCAAGATCGAACATTTCTGTGTTAGAAATGTAATCTGAGAATGAAGAAGAGAAAGGAATTAAGAATCACCGTTTCTTAAAACATCCACAACGTGTTTCCGGTCGTGATAACAGACACTGGCTATCAGAAAAGTACATCTCTACATTTGTTACACCTATATGCAAGTAGAATGTGACTTATATGTATCTTCATTCATTACTTTCACTTTTACTGTTTCATTTTACTCGCATACCGTGTGTCAAAAATGGATTGACATTTTCGTCTGTTTCAAGCTTGTCGCGAATGCACATCAGCACACTGTACTGTTTCCCGAGATAACCAGTTCGCAGATTTAAATGATAATAATATTGAAAATGATAAGTACCATAGATACCAAGAAATCATTAGTAATTTTACAAGGGTAAGATTTTAGCGCCGTCACCATAGCTTTTAGCATCAAAATTTTTAGCAGAGTATCTTTTCGATATTACAAATGTACGTGTTACATCATTATGTGCATAATGTATTATAGCCTTATATATACATGTATACACATATAACTGCATGTAAATATACATATATACATGCGTGTATATAGAGACACGTACAGGCAAAGAAGCATTCAATTTTCATCTATATTACAAGAAACTTCCGACGCTATTAACATCACTTGAAAAATGTTGGCGTAAACATTCCTGAGCAAATAAAATTGTTGAAATTTACTCTCGTCTACCCACGACTGACCATACATTGACGGAGAAAAAAAGGGTGTACATATAAATATATATACGGATACGTATATGTAGGTAGAGTATACAAATGCAAAAGGAGATCCTATATATTAAGAAGAAAAACGGGGGCGGGGGGGGGG